CCTACATCTATTGAAGAATGTAAATATAGAAATGATTGACCAATGTGGAAAGACGCAATCAAAGTGGAATTAAATTCACTTGCAAAACGTGAAGTTTTTGACCATAGTCCGTAACCAAATGGTGGTGTAAACCAGTGGGATATAAAATGGGTATTTGTAACGAAATGAGAAAAATGAGATTGTGAGATATAAAGCACGGCTTGTCGCACAAGCCAAAAACCTGGTATTGATTATGAAGAGACATATTCTCCTATGGTGGATGCAATTACATTTCGTTTTTTAATTAGTCTCGCAATACATGAAAATCTTGAAATGTGTTTGATGGATGTAGTTACAGTATATTTATATGGCTGACTTGATAATGATATCTATATGAAGATCCCTGAAGGATTTAAGTTGCCTAAAGCACAAAATTTGAATTCTCGAGAGATTTATTCGATCAAATTAAATAAATCTTTATATGGATTAAAACAATCCAGACACATGTGGTATAATCGCCTTAGTGAATATTTGTCGTAAAAAGGCTATAAAAATGATCCTATATGCCCATGTGTTTTATAAAAAGATTCATATATGAATTTGTGATAATTGCTGTTTATGTTGATGATCTAAACATTATTGGAACTCCTGAAGAGTTATCAAAAGTCGTGGATTACTTAAAGAAAGAATTTGATATGAAAGATCTTGGGAAAAAAATTTTGTTTGGGACTTCAGATTAAACACTTGACAAATAAAAATTTTATCCATCAATCTAATTACATAACAAAGGCGTTAAAACGATTTTATATGGACAAAGCACATCCATTGAGTTCACCAATGGTTGTAAGATCATTAGATGTGAAAAAAGACCATTTTTGACCTCGTGAGGATAATAAAGAACTTCTTGGTCTTGAAGTATCATATCTTGGGGCAATTGGAGCACTAATGTATCTTACTAGTATACACGACCTGATATATCATTGGCTGTGAATTTATTAGCAAGATATAATTTTTTTCCAACTCGAAGACATTGGAATGGAATTAAACATATATTTCGATATCTCCGAGGAACAATGGATATAGGCTTATACTATTCAAATGCATCAAAATCAGATTTAATCGGTTATGCAGATGCAGGATATTTATCATATCTACACAAAGCTCGATCCCAAATAGGTTATGTATTCACATATGAAGGTACAGCTATTTCATGGCGTTTTGTGAAACAAATTATAGTTGCTACTTCTTCTAATCATGCAGAAATTTTAGCAAATCA